GGCTGAGCCCGGGCACGGGTCAGAAAGGGGGAAAACCCCACGGGCTGACATTTTGGGAAGCCCCACATCACCCCCGAGCATCATCCTATCCCGTATCCATCCCTGAATCCCACCACCACCCGTCGGCACCCAAACCACCCCCAGCAGCCACACGCCTCAACCCTCCATTTCCCCTGGATGCTCATTGGGACTGAGCCGTCCCCACGGGGACTCCCCACGTCACCAACAGCGATGCCCTGGATGGTGGGGGGGAGGGGGGGAAGAGAAATTTTCAGCAATACTTCCAGAAAGGGGGTTTTTATTCCTTTTTTTTTTTTTTTTTACCTTAAAATCAGTAGGCACTTGGAGCTTTGGGGTGTTGAGTCCGAAAAGCACATCCAGCCCCACAAACATTAGTATGGACATAAAGATAGAGAAATCGCTAATAAGTTTACGCAGCTGTCGGGAGCGAGAGAAAGAGAAAAGGGGGAAGACAAAAACAAGAAAAACACAACAAAAAAAGGAAGGAAAAAAAGTCACAGAATTAGAACATTCCCCAAGAAAAGACAAAGTAGGTTTTCAGAAGGTGCCTGGCCACCGCAGGAGCCGTGATTTTCCCCGAAAACCAGTGAGGAGCTGGAAAGAGAGTGCGGGCGGAGAGGCGAAGGGTCCCCCCCCCCGGTGTGGCCGAACCTTGATGATACTGGGGATATGGAGCTTAGGGGTGTCCAGTCCGAAACAGGCATCCACTCCACAGAAGACCAGGATGGAGAAGACATTGGAAAAATCAGCAATGAAAGCCCTGACCTGGAGGCAAGACGAGGAAACGGGGGTGGAAAGGGTAATTAATGGGATGGAAAGGTTCATTAATGGGATGGAGAGGTTCATTAATGAGATGGAGAGGTTCATTAATGAGATGGAGAGGTTTCCTCCTGCTTCCACATCCTTCCCTGGGGGCTTTCCAGCTCCGCTCACCCATGGATAACCTGGGTCTAACCCACTAAATGCAAATTTTTTTTCCCCCTTTCCATCACAAGATGGTGGGTTATTCAGCATGCAAGAGCCAAATCAGCAGCTAAAAGCTCGGGGAGGATTCTTCTAATTGCTGCCAACCTCTCTCAGAAATACAAATTTATTTTCCTGGAGCTCTTTACATCCAGCAAAGAGACCGACAGCTCCCGTTTTTCCTGCCTTTCGGAAAAGAGGAGGGTGAAACCCGGCACTTTCCTTACCTTGGTGGGGAAATAGCGGCTGAATTTGAATTTTTTCAGGGTCAAGGTCATGGAGTAGGTCCCGAAGAAGAGGATGAAGGACATAAGGGCCAGGTCAGGCACAAATTTACAGGATTTCCCCACTAAGCTGCCGCCGTATTTGAGACATTCCTTCTTACTCAGCTGAGTCCAGTCCAGAGCTGTTAGGTTAATAGCATTGTACTGGGGAGAAACCCCCCCCAAAAAGGCAAAATTAGCATTTTAAGTAATTGCAGCATGTAAGCAAAGGGGTATTTCCCAGCCAAAAAAAAAAAAAAAAAGCAAAATTAGCATTTTTAGCAATTTCAGCGTGCAAGGAAAGGGCTATTTCCTGGTCAAAACCAGCAAAACGAGCAATTTAAGTAATTGCAGCGTATAAGGAAATGGGTATTTCCCAGGGCTGCTGCTACCGGGAGCCCCATCACCACAGGAAAACCCCGGAGCTGCTATCAATTTGAGCAAAAAAGGGAGGGTTTGGTGCTGCCGAGCCCAACCGTGAACCCAAATCGATGCAATTCCCTCGCTCCGAGCCAGCACGCATCGCTCAGCGGATGCAAAAGGCCCTCGGCTTCGCCCTCCCTTGTCCCAAATTTCCCATCGGGATGAGCAAATCCGCTTACCAGAGAAACGTTAGTGGTGTTCGGTGCCACTGGAGCTGAAGCATCGAACAAGGTCGCGTTGGCTGCGGGAAAGGAGTTTGTTATTGAGGTTTTTGGCTAATATCGAGGTTTTGGCTAATATCGAGGTGCCGGAGAGGCACGGCTCAGCCCGGCCGGCGTAAAAGCAAACACGGGGTCGAGCACATCCTCCGAGAGCCGCGTGGGGATCGGCATCCCGAGGGTGGACCAGGATTTGGGGAGAAAACCCCCCGTTTCTAACCCCGCAGCGACTTCTCCCTGATTAATCCCATGCGCCGGCGGAGAACGCGGCTTCTCCTTCGGTGGCTTCTCCCTCCGGGGCTGGCGAGTGCCGGAGGGAGAGGGTGGTGGGTCGGGGAGTATATTTAGGAGCTTCCCAGCTCCTAAAATTTTTAGGAGCTTCCTGAGGAAGCTGCTGGCAGCGGGGTCGAGCATCCCGACACCCGCGTGTTAAGACCAGGGGGGTTGAAGATTGAAAAAGCAGCCTGTTATTTTTGGAGAGGCAGCATCCAATCATGCCCAATTGGCTTTTAAAATTTAATTTTCATTCTTCAGGAGCACCCACCGTCTTTATGGGTGCTCCTAAGCGGGATCCGGGACCGCTCTGCCCCCCACTCTGCCCTCCGGTCCATCCTCTTCCTGGCCCAAGCAGGAATTTCGGCTGCCCCGACCTGCCGCCTCCATCCCCGGCGCCGAGGATTAATGAAGGAGAAGCGATTGCCGGGTTAGAAGCAGAGACCCGGGGGCTGCCGAAACAGCACCCACCGTCTTTATGGGTGCTCCTAAGCGGGATCCGGGACCGCTCTGCCCCCCACTCTGCCCTCCGGTCCATCCTCTTCCTGGCCCAAGCAGGAATTTCGGCTGCCCCGACCTGCCGCCTCCATCCCCGGCGCCGAGGATTAATGAAGGAGAAGCGATTGCCGGGTTAGAAGCAGAGACCCGGGGGCTGCCGAAACCGGGCTCTGGGGAACGACGCTGGCAAACCCAGCGTTAAAAACATTATATTATTATTATTTTTTCCTCCATAACCTTTTATTTTTCCAGAAACCGGCCTCATTGGTGATTTCTACAAGTTAAAGGGTAGCATACCACTGGTGGTATTTTAAGAGAGGACCCCTAAGGGCTCTACATAAACCCTTTTATCAGAGCAGAGAGAAAAGTAAAATACATGGGGAAAAAAATAACAACAAACCCCCCGCGGGGGAAGAGTATCAAATATTAAAATAGTTTTAATATTTAGAAGGCGATACTCACTTGAGATTGAAATCAGCCCAAATTGATGTGTGCAGCAGAGACAAATATGGTACAAATCAGTTATAATAATCAAAAATCAGAACTAATTAAAAAAGAAAAAAAGAGGATGTAGGGGGGGAATAAACATAATTTTGCAATATCTAGAGGAATGGAAAATCCAACGCAGACACCACTGCCTTGGGTGCCCAGGGCAGCGAGGGCGAGGAATGGGGCTGGGTTGCAAAGAGGCTCGACGGGTTTTTTGGGGTGAAAATGCCTCTCGGCCACCCGGGGTTTGCTCGGGATGGGGGGGCTTGGAAAAGGGGGAGACCTCCCTGGAGGGTAAAGGCTTCGCCTTCCTCCTGCGTTAAGCCACGGCGGCGGGGGCTGCCGGGCAGATGCCGGCGGTCACGGCGCCGTTCGGGGAATTTCAGGCCGCTGGGGATCGCGTTGGGCATCGGGCTTCGCTTCCCTGCGGGTCCGATTTGGGAGGGTTTTGGTTTGGAAAGGATTGTGTTGTCTCTGGGTGTTCCCCACCTGGGATCAGGTCACTCGGCGGGTGGTTGATAGACAGAAATCGAGGAAAAATACAAAAATAAACCAAATAAATGTTAATTCCATCGCAGCAGGTAAAAGATCTCTTCTTGCCGTGACAGATGTATTGGGGCAGGTCTTGGATGCTTTTATTTCTGGGGAGAGCTTCATCATCGCACCCCTCTGCCTCCTCTGTCTGCAGCTGATACTCCCCAAAATCATTGGCATTTAGACTTTAAATAAATTCAGCTCTTCAGAGGTCGCTGCCGTTAGCCCAAAGTGAAGATCTCCGCTGGGAGCATCGGAGCTGCACAATTCAGGCTGGGGATCAGCCGGTATGGCCATCCAAGAGGAAAACCAGGGGAGCCAGCAGAAGACCGTCTGCTCAGAGCCCGACGGCCTCTCCTTTTTGAAAAGGAGTAAGAAAGAGGAGAAAAAACCAGTCCAAGGTGGTTTTCCACACCCAACTGGGACATCCCGAGGTGTCCCAGAAACTGAAGAGGACGAAACGCCTCCGGTGTATTTTCTGGAGAATAAGTTTCCATTGGCAGCAGGTTGGAATAAATGATCTAAAGTGTCCTTTTTTTTTTTTTCCCCCCATATTTCCTTTTTATCCATCCCGGTCTGGCTGCTCCAGGCTGAGGCCTCATCTCTCCAGCACCATTCGCTGTGTCCCACAAAGAACTTCATCCGTGGGGGACAAGGCTCTCCTTCCATCTTGCCCAACATCACCCTCAGAGGAAGAGGACGAGGTCTCTCCAGCCCCACGCTGACCAGGTAGCTGCCTCCTTCCATGTCCTCGGCCAAAGATCCAGCAGGATTTATCCACAGCGGGACCCCTCCCCCCCAAAACCCTTCATCTTCCCCATCCGGCGCCGAAAAAGACGTGTACTCACCTGGGTCGGGGGCAATGCACTCGCACTTGTACATGGTGACGTAGTCCGGCTTGAAGTCCGAATTGATGGGATAGTACTTAAAGGCTCCGATCATCTTCTTGATGGCGTCGTAGATGAAGATGAAGCTGATGAGGGTGGAGAAGCCTTCCTCCGTGAAGCGAGTGATGTACTTTATAATGAAGCTGGCATCGGTGGCCACCAGGATAAGGCACTGTAGGGCAGAGTGCAAGCCGATCCAGAGGCGAAACTCCATGTAGTCGATGCCGTTGCCTCTGAAAGCGGGGACAAGGCGAGAGCGGCCCCGTGAGAGCACGCCTTGGGCTGGAGGACAGCTCCCATCCCAGTACGGATGGGTCCCGGTTCCCCCCTGGCATCGCCCAGAACCTACTTGCTGAAATCGAAGAGCAGCTTCTCGAAGATGAGGATGGGGCCGGTGCTGCTGAGGATGATGAGCGGCTGCCCGGCAAAGAGGCAAAACATGGAGCCTGCCATCGCCGTGCCGAGGAAGCTCTCCATGACGCCCTGGGGATGGATCAAACCCAGCGTTACGGTGATGCTGTGCCACGTTACATCCCCACGGACACCCTGGATGGAGATGGGAATTAAGGACCTCTGCTTGCACCCACATAGGACGGTTGGGACCACGTCCCCTTGCTCCCGGCATTGCCACTGGGATGGGTTTTCCCACCCTGCAGGTACTTCAGGACTGCCAGTCCCTCTTGGCAATGAATCTCCATCCCCAGCATTAAACCTTGGCATGACACAAGGCGGGTAAAACCCATCCCGTCCCATCCCCGCTTGCTGTCCCCAAGCCAAAGTGACCCCCTCTCCTTGGACTCGACCTGGTAGTTGTCCGTAGCGTCTCCAAGCAAGCCCCCAAACGTGATGGCGTTGGTGATGCAGCCCAGGTAGATGAACAAGATGGCAGAGATGGACTGGATATGAAAGCCTTCGTAGAAGTCGCTCGGGAACCAGGGCAGCTTCCTCTTGATATCCAAATAGAGGCCACCACAAAACCTGGGGAGACACCACCAAACAGGTACGGTGCTGCACAAAAGCCTGGGCCCAAAAGGATTTCACCCCTGCCTGCCCCAGGAGGCCACGGGGTGAGCCAGCAGGAGATGTTGGTGGGTGCTGGGGTGCTGCTCACCTGCCGGTCCACGCAAGCTCTTCCCCGATTTCGTGAACTTCGGGCATCTCCCCATCGTCACTGCCGCCTCCACCTCCCGCCCCACCGGCCGTGCCGTTCATCTGCCCAACTTCATTCAGCGAGAAAACCGATTTCCTGCGGGAGAGAGCCATCGGTGTTAGCCGACCAAGCTGGTCCTGACGCAGGGACCACGACCAAGGCCATGGTGTAGCTCTCCATGTGCACTAGAGCTTGGGTTTTGGGGTGAATTTGCAAAGATTGAGAGCTGGCTTTGCTCAACCCAGGCAGGTAATGGACATTTTGCAGGGTAGAAATGGCTCTGAGCTGATCTGAGGGCAAAAACTGCCGAAAAAGCAGCATTTCTGGGAACCTTTGCAGAGGTTATTTCTAGGGATGAAGGCAAGCCAAGCTGCTGTCCTCCTCCAGCACGTCCAAACCAGGAGAGACGGCGATGGCCACAGGGTTGGGACCAGCCTCACATCTCCCACCTACCTCTTCTCAGCCGAGGGCACTTTTTTGGGCGGCTCAATCCTAATGTTGGGGTCCCACTCGCCAGGCGGCAGGACAATGACCTCATCCAGAAACTCATCTATGCCGGCGATCAGGTCTTCTCTATCCCGGGCTTTGTAGGCAACATCGCTGAAGAGCTGGGGGTTGAGAGAGGAGAGGTGTCAGCCTGGGAACGGCATCCAGCACGCCCGTGTCCCATGGAGTTATGGGATTTTAAAGCTCATTTGTTTGGGGGATAGAATGAAAATTGCTTTTTTTTTCCTCCGTTGGCTCTGAGCGAGGGGGTCCCAGTGAGGGCCAGGCGTTGCATCTACTCACATCATCCACCATGAGGGTTGCGATGGCTCTGCCGATCTCGTTGTAGGATTTGGCTTTTCCCGCAGGACCAAGGAGAATGAAGAGGAACCTGGGAAGGGAAAGGCGCCGTGTGGGCAACCTTGGACCACGGGCATCCACGCCACGAGACCGCTCGGTGCTTCGGACACGAAGGAATTGCTCTCACCTGGTGGGGACGGGCACCTCCGTCACCCCTCCCAGCATCGTCGCCTGGAGGAGCCGCACAAAAGCCACAAAGGGCTTCTCCAGGAACTCCACTTCTCCCACCAGCACGTTGGAGGCCTCTGCATCCTTGGGGATCTTCTTGATGAACTTGTTCTTCAGCTGTCGGAAAGATGAGGGCGGGGAAGGGAGCAGTTGCCGAAATTTGGCTTTTCCCCCGTCTTTTCCACACCCTGAATAGAAAAGCTGAAGCCACAGTCTCAAACCTGTTGATCTCTGATGGTCCTGGGACTCCCAGAGGTGGGGATTCAAGAGCCATACCCAAGAATAAACCATTAAGAATTCATAAAGCTGAATTTCTTTGTTACTCAAAACCATCACTAAGCCCGAGATTAACTTGAAGCCACATGCGTGGAGCTCCCTAACGTTTGCACGTTGGGGTCTACATAAGGAAAACCCCGTGCAATCCCCCTGCAGATAAATTGGAGCCAAAAAATACGGAACCTGGAGCAAGCCAGCACGCATTTTTGCAAGCCTATTTGCAGCCCTGCAGCCCCGGGCTCCCCCCAGACCCTACATAAGGCAGAAACACTGCTCGGCACTGTGCAAGGGGGGTGTTTTTTGTAGTTTATTCCTCCCCAATCTCAACTTTGGAGCAGGAACAAATAATGGAAGTAGGAAACCTCATTCATGGATTTATTGCCCGGGTCTCTTCTCCCCTGCAGCTCTTTCATTATTAGTCTAAAAGGGTTCAATACCAACCCAGGCAGGGTGTTATTATAATCTATATGCCAGCATGAGGGGAAGCATGTGAGCCGGGCAGCAAGCTCTCCCCTTTCTAATCTTTTAAACCCAAATGGAAAAAAAAAAAATAATAATAATAAAGCAACTCCTCCAATGCAGCTTGGAATAAGCAAGAGGAGTTAACAGTGACCACTAAGCTTCATGTAACACTTAAAAAGTCCCTTTGTAGTGGGCCTAATAGGGCGATTAAACCTAAATGCTTTGCATATTTTGGGATTAACCCTCCGCACCCCACTGCTGGAGGATGATATTTGGGGTGCGCTAGCGGGCAGCTGGCTCGCTTTATTTCAGAAGGTGCCCTGGAAACCTTCTGCCTCCCTGATATCGTGGCGTCCCTGTCCCGTGGCTCCCAACAACACATGAATTTCCATCTTTCACCTCCCTCTAAACTGCATCACCCCAGGTAAGCCCAGCACGGACACCCCTGGGGAAAAACAAGTGGTTGTCATCCCATACTGTCCTCTACAAACCTGAGTCGCTTTTAGTTTTTCCTTAAGTTTATGCTGAAATCATGCACAAACAGAAACAAAGCAAAGCCCGTACAATGCACCAACGGTTCCCAGCGAAATAGCCTTGATATCGGGATGGGGACGGGACATCCAGCAACAGAACGACACAAAACCCTCCCGATGCATCGTGTCACCAAGCAGGGATCTGCCCACCAACAGCCCCAGCAGCCTGACCTCCTTCCCAGCTCTTTGAGGCAAACCAAACCAGGGGGGGAAGCCCCTGACGGACTCTTGGCCGAGCTCTGCATTAAGAAACCCACCTCCATCAGGCTGCAAACGGAGGGAAACCAGAACCTGCCTCTGTATTTACAGACTGTGATCTCGAGAGCTGCGTTCAGGTCTGCAGACCCAAGGGCTTGGTTGGGATTTACCCCCTGCAACCTGCCCTTACCCAGCCAAGCAAAGGCTCTTTTAGGATCCCTGGACTCTCCCAAGCACCTTTCCTTTCCTACCTAAAGATTTTAAGGAATTTTTTTTCTCCGCCCTAAGGACCTCAAGCTACATCAGCCTCCTCGCATGTCCCTAATTCTGTGTTGAACTTACAAGCACAGGTATTATTTCTGGGACAGCTTCCCCACGAGTTAAGCAGGGATCAATACGTGTATTAATTTCCCTAATTAGGAATTTGTGTGGTTATCGACCGAGTGAAGCTGCACAAGGCTCACATGGACCTTACCAACCACAGAGCCCCTGCCCCACCGCGGGTCGCGTCGGAGATGCTCCCCACAGCATCGCACTAACGTTTTCGGGGACGATTACCTGGTCGGTGCTCGGTGTGTCTGAGATGTCATTCATGCTCCGACTCTGCGCGTGACCTGATGGAGAACCGAGAGAGAAGGTGAGAAACCCGCCCCGTGATGCGCAGCCCCATGCCTGCCCCACCTGCGAGGAGAAAACATGGTGGGAGGACTTCAGCGCAAAGAATAAAACCATTATGTGTTAGCGCTGGGCTTGCAAACCTGGGGCAATAAGCTGAAAACCCAAGAATATGAGTTTTTCTGATCTCGGTTACCCTGTGGTTACACAAACCACATCTCGTTTATGGTTGTGGTGGGATCCCCTTGTCAACGCAATCACCCACTCTCATATTGCAACTTGATTTTTATTTTTTTCCCCCCCTTCCTGCTTCTTTCAGGACCGTTTCTGCCTCCCCGCCG